GTATACTGCACATACCGTGCAATAGGCCAATTTGCACAAAAAACCTAGGTGGGTAAAACGCGGAACTCTCATTTTAAAAGGTCTTCCCGGGTGAATTTGGGAAAGAAAAAAATCACAGGAGTTGTTGAGAATATAATACATTTATCCAGATTAAAATTAAAACATTGTGACGATTTTTAATGTTGGTTCTGCATCGATAAAGATGCCCCCTCCTACGGCATCGGAGCCAGTACGCGTATACTGCACATAACGTGCATAGGCCTATTTGCACAAAAAACCTAGGTGGGTAAAACGCGGAACTCTCATTTTAAAAGGTCTTCCCGGGTGAATTTGGGAAAGAAAAAAATCACAGGAGTTGTTGAGAATATAATACATTTATCCAGATTAAAATTAAAACATTGTGACGATTTTTAATGTTGGTTCTGCATCGATAAAGATGCCCCCTCCTACGGCATCGGAGCCAGTACGCGTATACTGCACATACCGTGCAATAGGCCTGTTTGGACAAAAAAAACCTAGGTGGGTAAAACGCGGAACTCTCATTTTAAAAGGTCTTCCCGGGTGAATTTCGGAAAGAAAAAAATCAGAGGAGTTGTTGAGAATATAATACATTAATCCAGATTAAAATTAAAAGATTGTGACGATTTTTAATGTTGGTTCTGCAGCGCTAAAGATGCCCCCTCCTACGGTATCGGAGCCAGTACGCGTATACTGCACATACCGTGCATAGGCCTATTAGCACAAAAAACCTAGGTGGGTAAAACGCGGAACTCTCATTTTAAAAGGTCTTCCCGGGTGAATTTCGGAAAGAAAAAAATCAGAGGAGTTGTTGAGAATATAATACATTTATCCAGATTAAAATTAAAAGATTATGACGATTTTTAATGTTGGTTCTGCAGCGCTAAAGATGCCCCCTCCTACGGTATCGGAGCCAGTACGCGTATACTGCACATACCGTGCATAGGCCTATTAGCACAAAAAACCTAGGTGGGTAAAACGCGGAACTCTCATTTTAAAAGGTCTTCCCGGGTGAATTTGGGAAAGAAAAAAATCACAGGAGTTGTTGAGAATATAATACATTTATCCAGATTAAAATTAAAACATTGTGACGATTTTTAATGTTGGTTCTGCATCGATAAAGATGCCCCCTCCTACGGCATCGGAGCCAGTACGCGTATACTGCACATAACGTGCATAGGCCTATTTGCACAAAAAACCTAGGTGGGTAAAACGCGGAACTCTCATTTTAAAAGGTCTTCCCGGGTGAATTTGGGAAAGAAAAAAATCACAGGAGTTGTTGAGAATATAATACATTTATCCAGATTAAAATTAAAACATTGTGACGATTTTTAATGTTGGTTCTGCATCGATAAAGATGCCCCCTCCTACGGCATCGGAGCCAGTACGCGTATACTGCACATACCGTGCAATAGGCCTGTTTGGACAAAAAAAACCTAGGTGGGTAAAACGCGGAACTCTCATTTTAAAAGGTCTTCCCGGGTGAATTTCGGAAAGAAAAAAATCAGAGGAGTTGTTGAGAATATAATACATTAATCCAGATTAAAATTAAAAGATTGTGACGATTTTTAATGTTGGTTCTGCAGCGCTAAAGATGCCCCCTCCTACGGCATCGGAGCCAGTACGTGTATACTGCACATACCGTGCAATAGGCCAATTTGCACAAAAAACCTAGGTGGGTAAAACGCGGAACTCTCATTTTAAAAGGTTTTCCCGGGTGAATTTCCGAAAGAAAAAAATCAGAGGAGTTGTTGAGAATATAATACATTTATTCAGGTTAAAATTAAAAGATTGTGACGATTTTTAATGTTGGTTCTGCAGCGATAAAGATGCCCCCTCCTACGGCATCGGAGCCAGTACGCGTATACTGCACATACCGTGCAATAGGCCTGTTTGGACAAAAAAAACCTAGGTGGGTAAAACGCGGAACTCTCATTTTAAAAGGTCTTCCCGGGTGAATTTCGGAAAGAAAAAAATCAGAGGAGTTGTTGAGAATATAATACATTAATCCAGATTAAAATTAAAAGATTGTGAGGATTTTTAATGTTGGATCTGCAGCGCTAAAGATGCCCCCTCCTACGGTATCGGAGCCAGTACGCGTATACTGCACATACCGTGCATAGGCCTATTTGCACAAAAAACCTAGGTGGGTAAAACGCGGAACTCTCATTTTAAAAGGTTTTCCCGGGTGAATTTCGGAAAGAAAAAAATCAGAGGGGTTGTTGAGAATATAATACATTAATCCAGATTAAAATTAAAAGATTGTGACGATTTTTAATGTTGGTTCTGCAGCGCTAAAGATGCCCCCTCCTACGGTATCGGAGCCAGTACGCGTATACTGCACATACCGTGCAATTGGGCCTATTTGCACAAAAATCCTAGGTGGGTAAAACGCGGAACTCTCATTTTCAAAGGTCTTCCCGGGTGAATTTCGGAAAGAAAAAAATCAGGGGAGTTGTTGAGAATAAAATACATTTATCCATATTAAAATTAAAACATTGTGACGATTTTTAATGTTGGTTCTGCAGCGCTAAAGATACCCCCTCCTACGGCATCGGAGCCAGTACGCGTATACTGCACATACCGTGCATAGGCCTATTTGCACAAAAAACCTAGGTGGGTAAAACGCGGAACTCTCATTTTAAAAGATCTTCCCGGGTGAATTTCGGAAAGAAAAAAATCAGGGGAGTTGTTGAGAATATAATACATTTATCCAGATTAAAATTAAAAGATTGTGACGATTTTTAATGTTGGTTCTGCAGCGCTAAAGATGCCCCCTCCTACGGCATCGGAGCCAGTACGCGTATACTGCACATACCGTGCATAGGCCTATTTGCACAAAAAACCTAGGTGGGTAAAACGCGGAACTCTCATTTTAAAAGGTCTTCCCGGGTGAATTTCGGAAAGAAAAAAATCACAGGAGTTGTTGAGAATATAATACATTTATCCAGATTAAATTTAAAAGATTGTGACGATTTTTAATGTTGGTTCTGCAGCGCTAAAGATACCCCCTCCTACGGCATCGGAGCCAGTACGCGTATACTGCACATACCGTGCATAGGCCTATTTGCACAAAAAACCTAGGTGGGTAAAACGCGGAACTCTCATTTTAAAAGATCTTCCCGGGTGAATTTCGGAAAGAAAAAAATCAGGGGAGTTGTTGAGAATAAAATACATTTATCCATATTAAAATTAAAACATTGTGACGATTTTTAATGTTGGTTCTGCAGCGCTAAAGATACCCCCTCCTACGGCATCGGAGCCAGTACGCGTATACTGCACATACCGTGCATAGGCCTATTTGCACAAAAAACCTAGGTGGGTAAAACGCGGAACTCTCATTTTAAAAGATCTTCCCGGGTGAATTTCGGAAAGAAAAAAATCAGGGGAGTTGTTGAGAATATAATACATTTATCCAGATTAAAATTAAAAGATTGTGACGATTTTTAATGTTGGTTCTGCAGCGCTAAAGATGCCCCCTCCTACGGCATCGGAGCCAGTACGCGTATACTGCACATACCGTGCATAGGCCTATTTGCACAAAAAACCTAGGTGGGTAAAACGCGGAACTCTCATTTTAAAAGGTCTTCCCGGGTGAATTTCGGAAAGAAAAAAATCACAGGAGTTGTTGAGAATATAATACATTTATCCAGATTAAATTTAAAAGATTGTGACGATTTGTAATGTTGGTTCTGCAGCGCTAAAGATGCCCCCTCCTACGGCATCGGAGCCAGTACGCGTATACTGCACATACCGTGCATAGGCCTATTTGCACAAAAAACCTAGGTGGGTAAAACGCGGAACTCTCATTTTAAAAGGTCTTCCCGGGTGAATTTCGGAAAGAAAAAAATCACAGGAGTTGTTGAGAATATAATACATTTATCCAGATTAAAATTAAAAGATTGTGACGATTTTTAATGTTGGTTCTGCAGCGCTAAAGATGCCCCCTCCTACGGCATCGGAGCACGTACGCGTATACTGCATATACCGTGCAATTGGGCCTATTTGCACAAAAATCCTAGGTGGGTAAAACGCGGAACTCTCATTTTAAAAGGTCTTCCCGGGTGAATTTCTGAAAGAAAAAATTCAGAGGAGTTGTTGAGAATATAATACATTTATTCAGATTAAAATTAAAACATTGTGACGATTTTTAATGTTGGTTCTGCAGCGCTAAAGATGCCCCCTCCTACGGCATCGGAGCCAGTATCGCGTATACTGCATATACCGTGCAATTGGGCCTATTTGCACAAAAATCCTAGGTGGGTAAAACGCGGAACTCTCATTTTAAAAGGTCTTCCCGGGTGAATTTCCGAAAGAAAAAAATCAGAGGAGTTGTTGAGAATATAATACACTTATCCAGATTAAAATTAAAACATTGTGATGATTTTTAACTTTGATTCTGCCTGTGTCAAACGCGAAACTCTTGGAGGCCCGCACCCATTGATCGCGTTGCCTGGGTAAAACATGGAACTATTAAATACAGAGGGCCTTCCCATGAACATGTGGAGGATATAAGACACTTGTCGACATTGCAAATAAAACATTACGATCATTCCATAATGTTACTTCGGCAGAATTCGTTCTGCAGCGGTACATTATCCCCCTATCAACTGTTTAAAACACGTGCTTCACAGAGCACTGAGTCAAAGCTGCACCCTGGGTTTGTAAACGGCATGTATCCCTGTACAGCATGTGTTCTGCACTGTTCTGCAAATACTGCACACAATTATTATACGACGGCACAAACAGGTGGGAAATCTTTTATTTTCAATTCATTAAAGGACAGATTATGGCGATTTTGGGACTTTTTAATGAGATTTGGCCCTTGCTGTACTTTGAAAGCCAGTATTTCATCTTAATTTAGTGTTTTATTAACAATTTTGCAGAGTTCCGCAGAGTTCTGCACGTTCTGCGAGTTCCGCAAAATACCAACTGCCGAGTTTGCCGATTAGTGTTGACCGCCATCTTGTTTGGATGGCACTGTACACGAGCATGGCTCTGTACACTTCACGCATGCATAGTACGGCTAGCTTCACGTAAACGAAATGGCGGCCAACAAAAACTCGACATGCTCGACAGAGTCGTCGTACGTTTCGCGTTGTACAACGAAAAATTTCAATCAATTTTACCTCGTTAAAAGAGCCATTGCAGTATTGCTTGGCCTGTGGTATGTGGAAAATCTCGTCCATGTACGGTTCTGGCTGCACCTTGTTTACTTGGTAGAATAATACCGAAGTAACAGCAAAAAATATGGAGAGAACGATCACCACAACCAATTTCATGGGCGCCGCCATTTTGATTTCTTACCTGGTAACCCAGACTTCTTCCGATGGCTGGTTTAGTGGACAGTGTGGTACCTGACTACTGTACAGCTTTCGTGTGGAACTTCAACTTCAAGCAGCACTCGGAGAAAAGGGAAGAGAAAACTGAAAAGTAGGCATAAAGCCCTAACTAGAATTAGAAACACATGAAAAATTGTTTTGTCAAAATGTCAACTTCGGAGTTTGCTGTCAGATTTCGACTAGAACTATTCCCCGAGATTGCTGTGTGCGTTGCCCTTTTCAAAGATGTGAAGAATGTGGATGAAATAAAGAACAGCATCGTGGCTAGAAAACTTGATGCCGCCCTCTTGACTCCAAAAATGGTGAGTCAAACTTTGTTGATATTTAGGCAATTAATAAAATAATTGTCATCTACATGTATTTCTACTTTCAAAACCAACTTTAAACAGATTCTTCTCAACAAGTACTCTAATTCATGAACTCAGAATTTCATCGCTTATCAAATTTTCTTTTCTTGTCAATACTGTTCAGTTAGCTCTCCACTGAGTGGAGCGTTGAACTGAACTACGGTACCCTCCATACAAGGGTACCGTAGTTCAACGCTCCACTCAGTAGAGCTACTGTTCAGTCTACAACCTTCCTTTTAAATCCTTCGTACTGCCTGTTTATCTTCATAGATCATGGTTTTGTATTATTTTGTATTATTTTATATCTTGGAAAATATCTTTGGAACCTTTTATTTTATTATATTCATTCATTTCCCTGTAAAATTCACCCGTTTGTTATTGTTTGGCATATTGTGACTTTTTCGTAGCTTATTATCATATTCATTTTCATGTAAAATTTACCTTTAATTTGTATTATGCTACATTATTTTTGTGTATGTATGTTTTTTGTTTAGCTTTCATTCTGTCTTTGTTTATAATCGTTCTTGTCATCCTGTATCTTCTTTGTTGTTTATGTTCAGGGGACTCGCACTCGACAAGCTTTGCTTTGTGTGGGTCCCCTGCATCTCTAGGTGGTGTTATTCAAATGTTATTCTTATCTTTATGTTCTAAAAATGCATGAATCATAGTAAATTCTACGTACAAACTGTATTCTTTTATGCCTTGAGATGAAATAAAGTAAAGTAAAGTAAAAGTAAAAGTAAGTAATGACTAATGATAAAAGACAATGATAAAACTAGTAATGTTGACTTTTGACTTCTCATTGTCTCACTCTAGTCCGAGTAACTAGGACTCTACGAATCACCTTTTTTAACATTTGGACATGGTCGGGCGACTATACTACATGTATGTCCAAATGTTGAAAAAGGCGATTCGTAGCGTAGAGTCCTAGTTTTCGGACTAGTCTCACTCTTAGCTTAGGCGGAGTAAAAAAACCAAAACACAGTTTGTCGTCCAACAGGCCCAGCCTGCTTTTTTCCCCCTTTCTTTAAATTCATACATTTGCAATATATTTTGCATGTAAATTGTCACTATATCAGTATATGGTCTTTTTTGTTTCCCACAAATTGTAGCTGAAGGTCATGGCTCCTTTGGACACACAATTTTGTATATCAGCAAAAAGTCGCGAAAATTAAAGAATCAATTCCATCTTGGGAAAACCACTATCTTGGGGAAAAAACTGACTGTCTCTTTCATTTTTTCAAAAAGGCCGGATGAGAAACTACATATTTATGTTACTCGGCCTAACCCTTATCCTCTCACTTGGAAGCTTAGCAAAACCTGCACATTATACGTGAATACAATTTCACATCATCACTTGCTCATTGATTACTAATGTTACAGCTTAGCATATTCCATCCTCACGCAGAAAACCTTCATCAAGTACATGTTCATTTAACGTTACATGTACATGTACCCATCAGACTCAATGTTAAAGAAATGAAATGCCCTTAATTACTTTTCCTGTTTGTTGCAGATTGTCAATCCTTTCCAGGTGTTGATTGCTGTGAATAAAGCTCTACATGTCAGGAAACACGGACTCAGGATGCATACAAGAAACATCAACTCAGAGGTCCTCTTCAATTTGTCTCCGATGAAAAATGTGAGCTGAAGCATGAATACAATTCTATCCACAGCATTTTGGCCAGTATAGGACTACAAATCTTTGTCCAATACTGGATGTTTAATTTTGCAGCCAGTCCCGTGACAAAGACGGTTAAGTTGCCGTATCTGTGGTCCCTATCAGCGCACAAGATGAATCAAATCCAGGCAATATTGGTAGCGCTACCCAGAAACTTCAGAGCATACCTCACGCGCATGCATTAGCTTGAATACAGCGCACGTGAGGTATGCTCAGAATTTCCTGGGTAGCGCTGCCAACTTTGCCAAGGCTGGATTTGATTCATCTTGTTTATAGTGACCTCGCTTGTTACAGACCGGCTATATAAGGGGAATAACATCCAGATCAAGTCTAAGACTAGTACAGCTCCAAGTTATTGGCCTGTGATCTCTTCTCGCTTCCAGATCAGTGCTTGTTTTCAACAGTTTGGCTTCTCCAAGGAAGACACAGGCTTACTAGCAGTCACTGTAGATGATGACTCCATGGATAAGATGAAGGCAGTGGAGGGGGTGGTGGATGGTTCCATGGCCAGTGTGGATGAGTTGTCTTCCTTCACTGATGAAAGTCTCATCAAACAGGTGAGTCAAGTAGGGGAAGGTCTAATCAGTGCAGTGATAAAACTAGGTGCCCCCATGTTTGAGGTCTAAGCCCCCCTTCCCAATCTCCCTCCTGCTCTGAATTTAGAGAGTGAAACAAGCTCTGTATTAGGCTGAATAAAAAAAAATATATTATAGTTCCTCTTCCAAGCGTTTTAAAAAAATGTAGGAGGCGGGCGCATTTTTTCCTGTTTATTTTTCTCAAGATGGCGGATTTTCTGAGATGGCGGATTGATTCTTTCATTTTCTGGACTCTTTTGCTGATACAAAATTGTGTCCAAAGGAGCCATTATATAACCCTTTCTACCTAGCAATTTTGTCACAAATAAATAGACAATATATCGACAATATATCTACAAATACAGCAAATGTATGAATGAAAAAAAGAAAATCAAAAATGGAGGCGAGCGGGAAAACTGGAAGCGAACGTGGATTAGAAACTGGTTTATTTTTACTAGGCCTTATTTGAATTTTTTTCAACTATGACCATATCCATTAAGTGTCCATCCCCCTGTTTAAAGGTAACTGATTTTGTCTTGTAGGTGTACAAAATTCACGAAGAGGAACTATGTGTGTGCTCCGTCTTAGACGCAGTGGTCAGTAGAATGGCAGGGAAGGAGGTATTATGAGAAGACTGTTAAGAAATGAACCAAAAATAGCAATGATGGCATCCCAGAAAGGTCACAGGTCATGGCAAGTAAAATGTGAATGGCCATGGAATGAGAGTGAAGGGCGCATTAGGGTGGAATGGGACTCTTGACAGATGAGGTAAAAATAGCAATGATGTCATTCCAGCAACTGAAGGTCAAAGGTTGTGAAACAAGCCTGGAAAAACAGCCAGTTAAAGTGGGCAGCTACAGCAGTGAAACAAGCTATGATCCTGAGCTGTGAGTTGTTGCCTGGATTACTTTGAGGAGGTTGTGCTTTGGCCATTGGGAGCAATAAAGTGGAGACACAAAGTGCCACGTTCGTCAGAGGCCCGTAGCCAGCGTAGCCCACCAGCGATTAGTTTCTCTTCAGAAACAAATGCATGTGCTTAGGCATTAATTTCTGTAATATTTATACCATAATTGATGTTTAATACCATATTTAACCATACTTTTTACAAAGTGTTGGAATAAATGTCCTATGTTGTTGGGGAAAAAAAGGTGATTGGTGATCTTTTTCAAATCCTTTTTTTTTAGTTCTTTTATGTTAGACTTCTGTTTTGTAATTTGAATTTGAAAGAACAGATGGCAATCGGACTATAAGCCAGAAATCTACCCATGTTTGTACAATTGCGCCCTCTTTCGGCCATTTGAAACCTTGCCTTTTGCTATGGCAAGATTTATTCAATCTGCGCTTCCCTCTTTGTTCTTATTCGACTGTATCAGTATTATGGTGTTCCACTTTTCAGCTGCTGAGAAAAAGCTGCTTTGTTTTTCTTGCAGGAATTTTAACAGGCATTGCCTGAACGGCCGAGTCTGCTTTTACATGTATATCATTCTGGTATGGCCTCCTTGTGAACTCAATAACCTTCATAGTCACCCGGCAAATCAAATCCTCACCCTGCGATCCGGTTAATAATTGAGATGTTTTCCTAGTTCAGGCCGACTGTTATTGGCTTACGTGCCCCGGGGAGCGAGGCAAAGCACCGAGCCGAAGCTTTGATTCCCGCCAACCTGCAGAGAGAAGGAGGAGGAAGCCAGAGCCAGTGCCCTACGAAGCATATGGACTAGAAAAAAACAACTTGCCTAGCCCCGGACTAGCGTCATCTATGATGCCTTCCTCCATGCCTCGTCACCAGACTACCCTGAATAGTTGCAAATCCCATCGTCCTTGGGTCTGCTTCGCTCATCCTCCATCCTTCCAATCGACAGATGTTGACATGTATTTTTAGCCTCATTGATCTCTCTTGGTTGAATAATTTATTTCAAGAAAATAGTGTTGTTGGACTCCTCCTCAGTCGATACATTTTTTAAGGATTTTTGTTTTCTCAGTCATTTTCTTGACACTAATGCTAGATTCGATGACAATCGTCGCCCTAAGCTTGACGGATGGAGGTTCCTGTTTAGTCTGTCATGTTTTGTTTCCATACAAATTTTAGTATAAAATGAACAGCGCCCTCGATATATCTCAAACCAGACGCAGCTGTTTGGATAACAGTCGTGAGACCCTGGGTTTTTTTGGGTGTGTTTTTAAAGAATAAGTGGCTATACTATTCACTTTTTCTCACTTTCACTCGGGGGTAACACACTAATTGTACAGTGTCTATACGTCGGTGAAGGGCAAAACCTAATATTGAAAGTGGCTATACGGTCGGAAATAAACAAGCGTTTTTGAGAGTGTAAAAAAATATCGGTTATGCTAACAAGATTTACATGCTTAGTAAATTTACAAGAGTTGTTTTCCAATGTGACGAAGAAATTCTTGTCACTTATGGTAAACAAGAGCAAGTTAAATCCAGTCATAAGTCTGATTGCTAAGCCTGATTCCCTGCAGCCTAAACCGACCTCATGGAGGGAATGAGATGGAATTAGGCAGCTATCCTTGGAACAATTGGACGAAGCAATAAATTGTTCTTATTTGTTGAGTGTGTATGTGCGTGTTCATTCCTATACCAAGACACTCAGTACGAATGTACCGTGATGAAACGGCCCTTTCGCTATCGACAATGTTTCTTTCACCAGCTTCGTATTCGTTAAGTGAATTAAAATCCAAGTTTGTAATTACTTTTACGGGTACGCCTTTTTGTTTTTACGGGCTTAGCCTTTTGAAATGGTAAGAATTAATCTTCTTTATTTCTTTTCGTCTTTCCTTTTTTTCCCGGACAATAATTCTCCGTGGGTTTTCTTCTCAACGGTTTATGGTATAAACGTGTAACTTTGTACCAACATCAACCCTGATCCCATATTATGCGCCTATCAAGTGTCCTCCCCCCCCCCCCCCCCCCCCCCCCCGCTGCATGCACCAGCTGGTCCGATGTCGGGATTTGGTCACGTTTTTCATGCCCCAGGGTGGGGATTTTGGTCACTCAAAAACATTGTTACCATATTGGCGTACTATACATGGAAAGGCAATCACTAGTGCGCCCCACGTATATATGCCGGGGCATGGTCGGGGATTGTCACTTAAATTTTGCCCGAGGGGTGGGGATTTTGTCACTTCAAAAGTGACAATCCCTACGTCTTGGGTGGGGCAGCCCCGGGGGGGGGGGAGGAGTGGGGAACAAATAATAGGCGCATTACTCTGACGTTATGATGACGTCATCCGTATCAAATTACAAGCGATTTTTGTTTAAAAATGACCATATACAATTTTATTGCCGTACATGTAACTCTTGAACAAAATAATCAATGATGTTCGTATTTTGTAATCGGATAGATAATCAATTGATAGGGTCGTTTGACCTTTGCTTCCGGGTCTATACAGGAAGGTCAAAATTACTGAGGTGAATTGAACATACAGACAGAAGCCTCAAAATCTAAACGATCCTATAATTTCTTCCAAACGATTCAAGGGATGATGATAAAACCTGGTATGAACTTTAACCCTGGTCCGAAGATGTGACAAAAATTGTGACGTCATCATAACGTCATCAGATATCAAATTACAAGCGATTTCAGGTCAAAATTTGAATAGCTATTTTGAACCATCACTTTTCAAATGAATGGAGTATTTTTCTTATTCTTTGTGATCAGTTAGACAATAGACATTGCCTCATATTTTGGATTCCCGGCCACATAGTCGTTTGACCTTTATTTCCAGTGTTACGAGAAGTGCAATGAAAATTAAATATAACTTGAAAACGGAAGCATTTTTCCACAGACAAACGAATTATGGAAGTGTTGAGTGAGGAATGCCTAATGGTCCGGTGGTTACGGTGTTTGACTCGTGTATGAAGGTGTGTGGGTTCGAACCCTGCCAGGGGCAAGGTGTTTGTGCCCTTTTTGCCTCTCTCCACCCAGGAGTATAAATGGGTACCTGTGAGGGTCGAGGACCGATTGAGTGCTGATATCGGCTGCCGCGTGGTCCCATGGCCTGATGAACAGGGTAATAATTGTAAAGCGCTTTGAGATTGTTGATACGATGGAAAGCGCCATATAAGCACAATTATTCATTATCATCATTAGCCTAATTCAATCCACTGCTGGATGAAGGCCTCTCCACTAACTTTCCATGCTTTTCGGTCCCTTGCCAGTTGTTTCCAATTCTTCCCTATGAAATCAGAGATCTCATCTCGCCATCTCTTAGGCTGTCTTCCTCTTCGCCTCTTCAATGATAATGGCGTCCAATCCGTTACTTTCAGGGTCCATCTGTGGTTGTCTCTTCTCATGACATGTCCTGCCCAACTCCACTTTTTCTTTTTGATCTCAACTATTATGTCTTGCACCCCTGTCTTTCTTCTAAGATCTTCGTTCCTTATTCTGTCTCTCTTTGTGACCCCAATCATTATTCTTTCCATTGCCCGTACAGTGACTCGAAATTTTTGCTCTGATTTCTTTGAAGGTGCCCAAGTCTCAGCGCCATATGTTAGAACTGGGATGATGCACTGGTCGAAGAGTTGACGCTTCATCTTTTGCAGTATTTTTCTGTCCTTGAATATGTAACTCAACTTGCACAATTATTAATTATTATTAACTTAAAAACTGCATGTCATCACCCGAAAGTACGCCCTCTAGCGGCACATCAAATAAAGTTGAACTTGCCTAAACATTTGTTTGTAAATTGCTCCTTGATATTGTTTGGACAGCCGCAAGTGACTTTACGAGGTTTCAGAATCATGACGTCATCAGACCGGAAGATATTATGGGGTGCTGTGGGCCAATGGTTACGGTGTTCGACTCATGTGCCCTGGTACATGGGTTCGAATCCTGACCGTGGGAACATATGGTGCTTGTGCTCTTGAGCAAGGCACTTAACCATTATTGCTTCGTCCTTCGGATGGGACGTTAAGCCGTATATAGGTCCCGTGTGTTGTGTAATGCACGTTAAAGAACCCAGTAACACTTATCGCTAAGGTTTGCCCCGGTGTTTCTGGCAGTGGCTGCAATATGCGCCGCAGCACCTTGTAAACCCTTATAAGGTGCTATAATGGGTCTCATATTCTCATAAACTTCATTTACCTGTCTTTAATAATAGACATAATTTCCAGCGCCTTGAGTACCTAGTTGTTGGTAGATACGTGCGCTATATAAGACTCCGGTATTATTATTATTATTATAAGGTAGAATTTGAACATGATCAGTTTTCTTTTTGCTTTAAAATTCAATTCCGCCATTTGATCTGTGTCTAATTAATATGTTCGTCCGACAAAACAGTGATACCCAGTACAATTTGAAAAGGCTTCAAAAGGCTGTGACGTCATCAAACCGGAAGTTAGGCGTTGTTTATACATACACTTAAACATTCATTATAATTTCCATATCTACAGAAGTTCTTTTCACCTCATGATGAACACACATGCTCTCTGAACTAAATCAGTCTGGTGTGGTCTTCTCTAGCTGGGAAAGGTAGCTGCCTTGAGCCAGGTCTTTGCTACAGGCCTAGGAGTGAGCTCATTGAGGTAGTCGCAGCCTCCTCTCCTAGGTGGTGGATGGGGCAGTCCATGATGAGTTGGTCAGCTGTCTGCGGCTTACCACACTCGCACCTGCCTGAGTCTGCCAGGTTCCATGCGTGTATGCAGGCATTGAACCGCCCTTTTGAGGCGGCACCGTTCCTTGCGGTGGAGGTTCCTTCCAGATGGGGATGTTGAGACTGGTAGCATGGTCGTCAGTCTTCCTCCGGTCTGGGTCCTCCTCCATGCCGCGAGGAGTCATTGCTGTCTGTTTGGCTGAGTGCTTGCATTGATATGTGGCTGAGCAGCTCTCAAGAATGGTTTCCTGCTCTTAAGGCTCTGGACTGCAGGGGGAGCTTGTAGCTTGTGATGGAGTGGGTGAGAGTCCAGTACCTTTAGTGCAGCTTGCCTAGTTGCGGCTTCGCGCCTAAGGTGGTGGGGAGGGATTCCAGCAAGAACGGGTAGGTAGTAGGTCGGGGTCAGTTTGAGGCAGCCAGTGATGGTGCGTAGTGCAGAGTTCAGCTGCACATGTGCTCCTGCCGCAAACGGACACACAGTACTCTGCAGGGGCGTGAACCAGGGCCAGGGTGGAGGGTTGTAAAGTCTGCACCCCAGT